GTCGTCGAGTGTTTGTGGCTGATACCTGTTGTGTGAGGCTCCCACAGTCGGCACCCTGATTAAAAAAATGACTCGCCATGTCAAAAGGGCTTGCTCCAATTGTGTTGGACCATCTAACTGACCATACATCACTGGGCTATACCAAACGCTGAGAATATTACTAGATGGAGCGGAGCGAAACAAAGCGAAGAATATTACGGAGCGAAACAATTCGAAATAGAAGATTAAAGATGGTGTTATGCCCGGACCCTTCTTTCCTTGCATGGCCGGGTCTCGACCATCTCGCTCAGGTCAAGAGGGGCACGTCTTAGTTGGTCTGGCCGCTCAGGCCTGCCCGTCGCCACCGCCGGCCGGCGTGGTCCCGCTGTCCATATGATACCCGGCGACTGTCGCAGCCGCGCCGCCGCCAATTAGCGGCTGCTCAGCTCTGGCCGGCCGCAGCTGTCAGCCGATCGACCGGCCGGCCCCGCCGGCGGCACCTGCCCGGCAGAGGCAGGTCCGTCGTGGCCTCGCCGGGACCCGCGCTGACCCCGCTACAGTTGCGCTGTGACCCCCGTGACCCCGCAGAGATTTTCTTGTGACCCAGCGTGACCCTTGTCTCGACTCGCGCTCCGATCCTCATCTTGATCCGCCGCCACCTCGCCATGACTCCGCCACGATCCCCGCGGTGACCCCGCGGTGACCTGGCCTTGACCGGCGTCCTGTGTCGGCAGCTACCTGTACCCAGACGGCCGGGATGACAACCCAGACCTCTCGTGGGCCGCGCAAGCCGCCCCCGAAGACCACATCAAGGTGCGTTCGGCGCGGCGGGCGGGCGGGGGCGTGTTCCTCGACACTCATTCCCGTATGTGTGGAGGGTGGTGGGGACTGCGGTCGGGATGACTGTGTGTGTGGGGGGGGGGGGGGAAGCTGCGGTCGGGATGACTGTGTGTGTGTGGGGGGGGGGGGGGGGGGGAAAGCTGCGGTCGAGAGGAGGGCGCGCGTGGAGCTCCATCGTGTCTCCGGTGGTGGTGGTGCCGGTGGCGGGGGTCCGCTGCCTGCTCGTGACACTGCACGGTGTTCGTGGTGCTGTGCCGTACGTTGGTGGTGGTGAGCTCACTGAGGAGCACTCGCGTCTAGCCTGGCCAAGCAAGGCAGCCTGCTCTTCGCTGGTACACGGGCGGACACTACCGACCACAATACGTGTTTTGCGCGGACTTGGAGTCCTAGTGCTTTGTCATACTTTCCTCATTGATCCTTGTGGCACCTGTTTAGCGTAATGCGGCCCGATTCCCCCCAACTGGCATTGCGAAACTGCGGCTCTTTTTATTACGGGCCGCAGAAAACATGGCTGTTACACAAATGCCTCGCTGGCCCCCCGTCTTTCCTTCCCACATCAAGCACCTGAAACCCCCAACTGTCTCGACGTAGCCAAGCGGCTGCAGCGCCCTGAAGTACGAAACCTCATCGCCGTCGAAGCGCAGACTCGATTCCGGCGACGTGTCTGGCCCGCCCCATTAGTGTCGACCTGAGCAGCGTCG